ATAATCACTAACATTTTATTTTTTATAAGTAAGACATTTTTTATTGCTATGATTATTTAATTCTATAAATTATTAATTTTAAATTTTTTTTTTACATAATAAATTAAGAATTATAGAAAAAAAAAGCTATAAACTTTATTATCTATAGCTTCTTGTATTTCAGTTGAAATATTAATAAGAATTTCATATTGTAATCTATTAATATAACTAAAAGTTTAAGATATATTAGTATCTTGAATAAGATCATTTGAAAGTTATTGTAAAAATGGTTAGTAAATATAATTTGATTGTAATATTTTTTACAAATCAAATAAGAATTTAGAGAAAATGAAGATCCATAAATTCAGATATAAAATTATGATAAAATGCAAGTTTCTTTAGCTATTTCTTTGGTATTAATATGTCTTCCTTTATTTTAGAAGCTTTTTGTTCTAATTCACTATATTTACTAACTAGGTAATAAGATTAAATTATAACATTTTGAATTTTGATAACTAAAAAATTTTTTAAAAAGTTAATTTATTAAGTTTTAACAAAATTAAATTGATTCTCATTACTTTTTCAAAAGAGTTGATTATGAAAAAGTATTAGCTGGTTATACTATTAAAAAGTTTTAGAGTCAAAAAAGATTATCAAAGAGCAGATCATTCTAGATCGTTTTCCATTTTTGGTAAATTTCCTGGCTGTATTATGCATCCCTGAATGTGAAGCTATTATAATTGTTATAATTGTCCAAAAAAAAAAAAAAAAAAAAAAAAAAAAAAAAAAAAAAAACTCAATTCTGAATAAAACATTACAAAATGGTAAATTTATCTGAGATTCCTATTGTAGACATTTTTAAAAGTCTCATCCTTGACTCATTAATGAAGGATGAGTTTATACACAAACGTCAAAGTCCTAAAGGGTTCTTAGTAGAAATAAGTATTGGTTAGCAGGTACTGCGCTAGTTGCTGGAGCTGCTTTGGGTCCATTTGCGCTTACTGGGATAGCAGCAGCGATAGGGTTTGGTGAAGCTGGTATTGTTGCTGGATCTATAGCGGCATGGATTATGTCGTTACAAGGTGGAGCTGTCGCTGCGGGTAGCCTTGTAGCGATTTTACAATCGGTTGTTGCAGCTGGTCTAGGTATTGGGGGATTTATTGCTGCTAGTATTGGAGGTGCTTATTTTGGTGCTGCAATTGCTAAAGTGATACTAATGATATCAGAATCAAATTTCGAAGAATTTGCAG